ATAAACATCATTAGATGTTTGCTTGCAAACAGTAAGCACCCGACCAGGCTCAGACTCCATTTTGTGCTCATCCCTTGGGCTGATAATATGGTAACCATTCCTTCTATTGAAATAGCTTCCCAAGCTTCCGACCGATAACGCGAATTATCACAGAAGGAATTTATAGCGTGTGACGTTTGTTTCGGAAGCACGCTGGTTGGCAAGTTAAGTTGTGGCACACAGAAAGGTACTCACCACTGAGTGTTATTCACTGGACAAAGAGAGCCTTACAAAACAAAAAGAATGTGTAATTTATACCTGGTTATTCATCTCACCCTTCTGAATTATTTAATCATCGACTACCTTTGATTTACCATATGGTTCTGCGTTGAATAGACTCCATATCAGCCTCCCTCTAGCTACGGCTTCTCCAAAAATGTTTGTTCGGTCAATTTATCTCATGGGACCATTTCTAGGGTTTACCACTGGGCACATTTGTTTTCAATAGAAGACTTAAGACTTGAGTTCGACTAGGACTATGAGGTTAGCTGAAGAACTTTCACTTTGAATTTCCACAACGCGGAGATTCCAAATATACATGGTACATTTATGCGAAGAAAATTAATGTTGTATGCCTAACATTTCAAAAAGTAGGATCATATTGACATTCGCCAACACATTTTACTTCCTGTCCTTCCTATTTAACTTTCGATAAGAGACTGTTATCAGTATCTTCATATTTTGCTCAACATGTACTACATGAAAGTTACTAGCTGCGAACTAATTTTGTTGCTAGAATTACTTCTTCTAAACCCAGCAAACTGGGCTCTCTTGATCCAGTCTCTCCAGCTTGTGTAAAGCTAACAACAATCTGCAACTCTCGCACAGCGTTTTGCTTTGATGGTCTAGCTATATTAGGATTGACGCACACAGTGGACAGATATGTCAGAACCAGTGGCATGAATGATGAATTCGTGCAAACCTATCTCTATACATCGATCGGTATGCTTTGATTATCCAGAAGTTATGATGCAACTGTTCAGTCAGTAATTGTTCACGATGCCTGTACCATAATTATGTTTACCGCTATAGGATAACCCACCAGTATTCACCATCCAGTGTTGTTCACTGGACAGAGAGAGCGTCACAAAACATAAATGCATTATTCATACTTGGCTACTCTTCTCACTCTTCTGAGTTCTCTAATAATTGACCGCCTCGGAGTGACTGCACTCCCTTGTGTTGATGACACCCTACAGCAGCCAGCATCTGATCAAACTTCATAGTTTCGTCCACACTTGGTTCTAATAACTGTGTCGGGAAAATTTGCCTTAGCCACAGGATAATATTTTACGTATATAATGGCCAACTCGATTTCAGTGCGAGCGGAATTAAAAGACGAGGATAAGTCGAAGATTTTCTGATCAACCAGCTATATGCCAATATAGCAAGTAAATTACATAGCAGCTTGACCATGCAATTCACATTTGGTTGCTATCATTACATTAAAACAGTCTACAAATTACGTCAGTACAATATACATTAATACTTCTAATCGCGTAGCTCGGGTTTTCTGTAAATGAACAAACGGCTCAGCCAAGACACGCATTTTTGCCTCCGACGAACAAGCAACTGGTTAGAATAAACAAGTTCATGGAACGTCCACACTCATCATTTTTGACATTTGCCATATAATTTCTAGAGTCTTCTGCAAATAACTTCAGCTTTTTACTCTGTCTAAAAATAATGCTCATCACAGCCCGTTTCCAAACAATTGAGTATTTCGATTTTCGCTTCATTATCTGCATTTACAAGTCAGATGCTGCAGTGATATGGTTTGTCATTAAGCTTAATACGTTTAGTAGGGCTGGCATAGTGCAGCATATTAACGGTTTAGAAGCTGAGGGTGTTGATGTTCAGGGATAGTACGACGTATACTTAAGCAAGATCTTGCACCCACTAACTCCTACAGTATTTGTCCAGCAAAGACCAAAGACAACTGACAACACCAAATTGATCGTCCGAAATGCGAGTTAGGTTTCGTGACAGAAATTTTAGTGCGAGGATGATTGCTTAACTAGCTCGAGATCGTGCTCGAATAGACAAACGTAACATGACAGAGTGCCAAATGGTGTGTTTACCTGACCGCGAGCTTCCAGCTAAACAGTGCTGCAGATTAATAATTTTGGAAAATTAACTACCGCTGCAAAGACGTAACCATAATCGAACAATTCCATTAAATTTTCACCCGATATGACCATGAGAGAGTAATCAATGTTAAAAGAACAGCATTTACTAGTTTTGATATAGAAGTGGGCTCAATATCCAAGAGTCAGACAGATCCCGATGCACATCCGGAACTCAGGAACTGGTGCAACACTAGAGCCAGGAGTGATAGGAGGTCATTTCAGACTAAACTTGCCAACCACAAAAGCCTGTACCGATTCATGTCGAAGAGAAAATCAACCAGCCAGAGACAATGTGCCTTAGTAGATTAAGACGGTCAATATCTCACTAGTCTGGAAATGGCTGAACGTTCAGTTTAGCCTTCGCCGAACAGTTGAACAGCGATGTAGGTAATACTAGCATGGACCAAAATGGCTGCACTACTATGTCACCAGGGGAAAACCTACTGACTACTTTACAAATAAGCCCGGCAATAGTACTAAGGAAGCTACAATGACTCACACCTGGGAAGTCCCCAGGTTGTGACGACATCAGGCCATCTGTCCTGAAACAGTGCGCCGAAGCTCTCTGTAGGCCCTTATGCGACTTGTTCCAACACACAATGGAATCGGGGAAACTGCCAAGTGAGTGGAAAAGAACCATCTTTTCTCCGATCTTCAAGGGTGGGGATAGGCAAAATGCCACTAGTTATAGACCAGTAGCTCTAATCCCAGTGGTATCAAAAGTACTGGAAAGTATTATTGACGATCACATCAGGGATAGGTCTAATATACTCCATGAAACCCAACACGGTTTCAGGAAAGGTAGATCCTGCGTTACTAACCTACTATCAGCTTGGGACGATTGGACATCATGCTGGGATATGAATGTTCCAGTCCATGTGGTCTTCCTAGACTTTGAGAAGGCATTCGACACTGTTCACCATGACCTTCTCCTACACAAAATAAGCCAGGCAGGTATAGGTAAGCCACTTCTGTCATGGTTAAAGGACTACTTAGCTGAAAGGCAATTTTGCACTAAGGTTAATCGAGTCCGATCATCTTAGCACAGCTCATCGTCAGGAATGTCGCAGGGTTCTATCCTAGGACCACTGATGCTTTTGATTTTTACCAATGACCTGCCATGCCGTCTAAGCCGCCGGACTCTTCTGACGACGTAAAGATTTGTAGGGTAATAAAGTGTTCGGAAGACTCATATAGGCTGCAGGTAGATCTTAAGCTTATAGAAGACTGGGTGGTGGCCAGTGGCGTGACTTTCAACCTGAAAAAGTGCAAAGTAGGGAAGTTACGCACCTGTAGGCTTCGGTATGCGACGAAAGCTTGCCCAGCACAACGTTGGAGCGTGACTTAGGTCTAGTTCTAAGGGAAAAATAGACAGAAGCGTGAATTACACGCAGGGTGTAGGAAGGATATATTCGGTCATACAATTTACGCATAGACAGTTAGGTTCACTCACTCCTGAGCTCTTTCTAAGGTTGTACAAAACATGCATCCGACCACACCTTCAAGCGCACAATATCACTGCACCCCCATTGCTTAGAAGAGACGCAAAACTTTCGGAGAGGTCAAAGACAGGAGTAGTGATAGGTCTCTGACTAGCGGTTAAAGAAATTAGGTCTCTTCATACTTAGCTACCGTCGTCTCAGTAGGGAATTGATTACTGTCAATAAGATATCAGATGTCCATAATCACCCAAACAAATGTGCTGTGTCATCAAGTACGTATGGGCTTCCTCGTGGAAATCCGCAAATGATAGCTGGCCAGGGGGCAAAGATTCGAGTGCTCTGCCTTTTCTTTCCCCTGCAAGTTTGCTGTCCCTGGAACTCCTTACTGGCAGACGTAGCTAAGGCATAGTCCACGGATAGCTTTAAACAAAGGTTGGAAAATCATGTGGCGACAGAAGGACTGCGTCAAAATGGCCTATCCCCTTAAAATCTCATACGCTATTAATTGGCAGACATCTAAACTCATAGTTTTACTTCTTCACATTTCCCTTGACTACTTCAATATTACGTCCCTTACACTATCATTGCTATTATTGAAATTATATATGTCTCATCTTCTAATTTCATTAGCTGTCTGTGTTTTCGTTTTTATTATTTTTCTGTCTTTTAGCCTGAATGGCCTACACCAGATATATGTTATCTATTTTCTCTAATCGACAACACCGAAGGACTAACTAGTGAAAGGATAAACTCCATTCACAGTAGCAACAGGGTCTTAAGACACTGCAAACTACCAACAACACATAGTTAATCCCAACACCGCTCCTTTCGAAGTCAACCAGAACTACTACAATCGAGTGGTGGGACCATAAACCTTTACCTCACAACTGAGAAGTGAGCATAAAGAAATCAAATCGGTTTGCACCAGCCCATAGAAACGAAGCTGGATATTGGAATACTGCCTTGCTTCTTTGAATAAGTGTAAAGGAACGGAAAACAAATCAAAACGATATCAGGAGAAGCCTGGATATCAAGTTGAGGAGATTCTGTCTGAAGTGTCGGCACATTTTGTGTCCAAGACTAAAGTTTAATAGCAGCAACAACGTTTATTTTGTACAAATGATATATAAATACACCACTTTATATTCTTATTCAACGAAGAACAGCGTGCTTAAAATTTGTGATTCTCCGTGAGGTGGCAGCCACCAGTTTTACCAGTGTGAATGGTCAAAACCTTGAGGCAGTTGCAGCACATGGTACTTTATTTTATACTCTAGCGATCGCAATGCATCTTTCCCCCAGAAAATCCTTAGTTTCTAAAGAAAGAAATACTGAATTCTTCAGAGAGCAACAGGGGTTTTGAAATGCATCTCGACCTTTGTATTGGACATATTTTGGGAGTTACGCGGCTTTTACGACATTTGACCTAGCGGTCATCAAACTTTGGTAAGTTTAGGAACTTTTTTGATATATGGTTACCATACGGTTTCTATACTATGTTTAAAGGTATGTCATTTTTTAGAGTTAACTGGTAGATACGAGAGAAATGTACAGCATAGCAAATGTGGTCAATACAGTCAGATAACGAGTGGGAAGATGGTGATAAAGAGAAGACTGAAATGACCATGGAATTAACTTTTTTCACCCAGAAATTCATGATATGTATTGGGTTTCAAACGGTGGATGTTAGTCACAGTATCAGGCTTAATATTAACTAAGTGTTTATATATTCAGTGCAACATCTGCCACAAATGTTATTACCCTCTAGGAAGGACATTAGAATTCTTCTTCTCCAAAATCAACAAGTTTATTATGTGGCGTTAACCTTATGCCTATTGCTACTACCCTTCAGTTTCTTGAAAATAATAGAAAAGTAGCCCTTACTTAATCTTGAATGTTCACTAAAGCCTACTAACTATGCAAAACAATTTACTTACAAACATAGTAGACGGACTTTAGATGCTTTACATCATTATATCTTTCTCCATTTTGGACAAAGGTGATAGATATGCTTGGTGTCCTTCCTCAGATTATGCATCTATATGTCTTTCACTCGCTACTCTTTAGCCACCATTTTCTTCAGGCGCACTGCAGAACGTAGGACAGTGATCTGCAGTCTGCCGAATAATTTGGCAGTGCATCTGAAGTATGTCCCAATCATTCTGCAAGGCGCCTTAAGTTTCTGTAACTGACTATAAGCTTCAATTAAACACCTACGGTTATGCATTAAACCCTTAGTCGATAACCACCATAAATGCAAACCTACTATGTATTCTGCTTGTCACAGCAAACAACATACTGGCATCAATTCAAAGGCTTACAATGTTAGAAGCAGTGGAATTTAATGAAAAATATATTTAATGTTCATGCAATATGATTTTACAATGTTTTGACACATCATACGAGGATTCAAACACCATATAAATCACCAGGGGCATTCATCCGTGTACTTTCTGCATCTTGCCTGTTCTCATCCTTCTGGTTGACGGTGATCTGAAAATAATTTTTAAAAAATTGAGAAATACCAAAGGGGAACGTCGTCATCCTCTCATTCTTGCCTTCACTCTGTCACGACTGTTAAGAAACCAACATAAAAGAGACATCTCACCTTGTGACCGTGAGAGATGAAATTCGCAACTATTTGACGGGATTTTTTGTAATTCATCGGTCCAAACAGGACCAAAACAAGTAGAGTTCTGATGGCTTATGAACGTTATCTCCATCCAAGTCCTTGATCCAAAACCCTATAGGCTTCAGGCACATTAAATCCGATGAGCACCAAGACTTCACCACCAGCGTGTTCTGTCAGAGGTACGCGCTCAAGGTGTGGCCACTACTACTTTACTTCCATTAGCGATAGCGATAACAATCTTTACTCATTTCGATGACAACCTTGGGAGTCGTATGATGTCTGCCTTAATTAAAGTAGTGTCTGAACCGTCATCGAAAACTGCATACCCACTAGGCGACACATCTATGCTTCCTATCTAGTCTGAAAGTGCAGGAATTTTAGTTCTTGTGCATGCATAAACTCAGTTAAGGCTACTGTCTGTCTGTCTGTTTTCGACATAGAACTTTGCATATATGTGCGGCAGATCAAGTCGCCACACAATGTAGCACAAAAAGCAAGAGAAGAAAGTATGAGAAATGCATATTAGAGACAGTAAACAGAGGTGTGAGACAAAGGAATAGTAATAACGAAGAACAAAACAGTTTCATTGGAAATCATAAGTCACAAGGAGTGGATGCATCTGCGCCACTGAGAACGATTTTGAGCCATATCACCAGATTGTTTCCAACCATTGGTTTTTACCGTCCCGAGGACCCCAACCAGGAAGTCTACACCTTCCTACGTGGCTGGCTTAAACTAACTGTTGTAGATTTCATTGACTGGTGCCATGTTTTGGTTTGACCGCCGCTAGCTCTTTTCCAGCCTGACCCTATATCAGCTAACATTGCCTGTTGTCGAGGAAGGCGATGGCTAGGCATACGTAGCACATGTCCTAACCATCTCAGTCGATGTAGCTTCACAGCCTCGTCGATTGATTTCCCCTCCTTACCTAGCACTCGACTGCCTAACCTCAATATTGCTCACCTTATTATACCACTTCACGCGGGAGATAGAACGCAGGCACCTATGATCAAAGACAGCTAATCTTTTCATGTCTTCCACTCTCAATGGCCAGGTCTCACAGCCATAAAGGAGGACGGAGCGGACTGATGAGCAGTACACACGCCCTTTGGTCGATAGCCTCGGATATCACGTCTACGCCAGAGACGGCGTAAACTGGCATATGCGAACCTAGCCCTCTGTATTCGTGCTGAGATTTCGTCTGAGATCAACCCGTTGGGGCTGATGGTACTTCCCAAGTAAGTGAAGCGGTCAACGTGCTCTACCACTTCACTTCCTATTTCTAATCTAGGAGTCGGTGAAGTCCAATCCTGCAGCATCATCTTACATTTTACAGGGGCGAATCGCATGCCAAACATACGAAGATTGTTGCTCAAGGTGTTCAGTAGACTCTGCATTTTGTCAGCGTCCTCGCCTAGAAGGACTATATCGTCCGCATATTCTAAGTCGACGAGATTATTCCCTGGTAGCAAGTCAATCCCTGAGTCGCTGAAGTGTGTTAGGGTTAAGTCCATTAGTACGTCTATGATGAAGTTGAATAGGAATGGGGATAATGGGCATCCTTGACGGACGCCACTAGTCGTCACCACTTCAGATGACAACTCGCCATAAGCCCTCACCTGGCTGCATGAGTACGAGTAGAGTGCCTTAATCAGTGCAATGTATTTTCTCGGCATTCCCTTTACAGCCAAGCATCGCCAGAGAACCTCTCGGTCGACAGAATCGAATGCCGCCTTTAGGTCAAGAAATATAATGATTGTTGGACGCCGGTAGGAATGCCTATGTTCTAGAATCTGTCGGAGGGTGAAGATATGATCAATACACCCTCTTCCTGGCCTAAAACCTGCCTGGTTTTCTCGTGTTTGTGCCTCCCGAGCACCACTTAGTCTACGCATGATTATTGAGCCTAGGACTTTAGATACTATATTAGTCAAGCTAATCCCTCTGTGATTATCACAGGAAGACTTGTCTCCCTTCTTGTATATCGGGATGATCAGTGACTTACACCAACCCGATGGGACTTCCTCTGATTCCCAGACGCTGCCTAGAACCTCAGTTAATGCAGACAGTAAACTGTCTCCACCGTACTTAAATACCTCTGGAGTCATTCCATCAGGTCCCGCTGCTTTGCCTTGTTTCAGATTAGTGACAGCTTTAGTAACCTCAGTTAAGGACGGAGGACCTGTGTCTATATCCCATTCAGGGAGGTGTTGGATGTTCGGCAGGTTAAGTGTGGCTGTAGGCCAATTAAACTGCTCCTCATAGTGTTCTTTCCAGCGTTCCAGTCGTCTATCCTGGGAGCTAATTATGGTGCCATTTTTCTCAGAGATTGTTTCACTTATCATTTGCCTTTTGCCACCTGTTTCCCTGATAAGCCTAAATAGTTGTCTGGTGTTGCCAATCGCCGATGCCTTTTCCATCTCTTTCGCTTTTGTCGCCCACCACTGTTCACGGTCGTTGCGAAGACTTTTTGTTAGTTTTCGTTTAAGTACCTTTCGCTCCTCATCATAATCGGAGCTCGCTGGAATCAGTCTTCTTGCGTCAATCAGTTCGGATGAGGCGGTAGAGATCCAGTGGCTTTTATTAACTTTAGGTTTTAGCTTATTGACAGCTTTCACGGCTGTGTCCACAGCTAACTGTATGTTGTGCCAGGCTACCTCAGGGGAAGTCCTGCTGTCGACCTCAGAAACTCGTTTCGCTATTTCTTCCTTAAATAAGGACTCTGTCTCGATCTAGTTGGGGACGTAACTGTTTCGTTGCCGTCAATTTCTTATGTCCATTTAGTCGTAAGCATAAACGTGCGCGAACCAGAGCGTGATCAGAGTCTACGCACGTGTTCCAGAAGGAGCGACAGTCTTCTACTGACCCTCGCCAACGATACCCTATGGCTATGTGGTCTATCTGAGTCCAGCGTTGATTTGGTGATGGAGGTCGCCAGGTTACACAATGTCTTTCTTTGTGCCTAAAGTTAGTGCTGACTAGGAACAGATGATTATCTGAGCAAAACTGGAGAAGACGATCACCGTTGTCGGTTCGTCGGCAGGGAACTCCATACGTACCACCTACATACTTCTCAGTCTGGCACAACTTCCCTACTTGGGCATTGAAGTCGCCTGCTAAAACAACTATGTCTGAACGTTTTGCTTTTTGCAGCAAATTAGACAGTTTCCGGTAGAAGTCATCTTTTAATTCATCCGAACTGCAATCTGTTGGGGCGTAAGCGGAGACTACGAAAAGGCAACGACGGGTAGCGCCGTCTTTCCTTCTTTTAACGGACCCGTTCAGACGGACCGCGCACATACGACTATCTACTGGGATCCAGTCAAGGAGTGATTTTTCCGCCCTAACACTCAGTGCTATCCCTACACCTGCGAGTCCTCGTGAGCTAGCTGAGGGGTCTCCCGACACCCTTAAAGTGAATTTTGCAGATTCACCTTGTTGACCGGGTGAGGTCAAGTGAATGACCACACTCGGGTCTTGTATGCGTGTCTCCGAAACACAACATACATCCATGGCTCTAGATTCCAGAGTTCTTGCTAGTGATGCCTGTTGTCCGATTTGGCAGAGGGTCCTGACGTTAAAAGCTCCTATATGAAGTTGGCGACGTGGCTTTAATAGGCTATCTGGGTTGTTTCTATGGCTCTCATCGTTGTTTGTGGACGCAGAGTGAAGTGAAGATGACTCACTAGCCTGAAGAATAGTGCTAGCTGTAGTAGAGAAGCAAGATGAGGAAGGTGATGTGAGTAGGGGAGAGTGATGCCCAGGAAGGCTTCGTGTGCTTTTGGAAGTGTGTGGGAGGTTGTTACTTCCCGGCTGCCCACACCGTGGAAGTTGACTGAGTCTTCGGGTACCTGAAATAGAGAAAAGGTTAGTGTTGCGTGACCGCAGAGCCCAGGGGACAACTGCTTGAGGCCGGTCACACGCGACCTGTTTTTGTTTGTTTGTCAGACATATTGCCTCGGTATGTTGTGCTGCGGTGGTTGGAACTACTGCACAGGAGATACCCAAATATTTTCTTTCTGTCTCGTTAGTTGTTTTTATTGTTGTTGTTGCTGCTGCTGGTTGGTCTCCTCAAATCTCAGTTGTAATGATTAACTGATAACATAATGACAGTTTCGGTTAGAGATAGTTTTTTCTTCGCGAAATGAGCACCTGCGTCCAACTTGTTTTTAAATGAATTTTTGCGTCGTTAAAAGCCTTCAATAAACGTTCCAGGTTAAGTGAGAGCTACTTTTCTATTATTTTCTAGAAACAGAGGGGTAGTAGCAATATGCTTAAGCTTAACACCGCATAATTCACTTCGTGATTTTGCCACAGGAACAATTTCAATGTCATTGCAAAAAGCAGGCATAAAATTTGTGGCAGGTGATGATGCACTGAATATATAACCACTTAACTAACAATATTAGTTCTCATATTATGCTTGATTGAAACAATTGACAGTACCTTATTTGTACCATTTGCTTTGTTGGTTCCAAAGATTATGCATTTGTATTATACTATTGAGGATCACATCCTGAAAGCAGTAATCAATAGACATAAGACTTTTGTTAGATGGATTTATTTCAGGATAGTTTCCATGACAGATGTATATCAACTAGGGCAACCAATGGAAGTCAGAAACAGTTAGGCAGGCGTTTTGTCTTAGTTAAAGGTTCTACAACGGGTTTTCTCCATTAGTCTGTAAAAGACTAAGTCAGGGATCATGAGATTCCGCATCCAGTACGTTACCATTCACTTTTGAACTTTAGGATTCACTGCTTCTTTAACCTTTAGACGTGGCTCGGAAATACTCGATGGTTCCTATGGGAAGTGGCAATTAATTGAATCAGCCAAGTCGAACATGTAGATAAGTCGGTGATATCATACATATATATTTTATACTATGACGTCTTATATTGTTGGTTCCTGGGACTCCTAATACTTTGCATCATTCTCATGCTTTCAGCCTTAATCGGAGTGTCAGTGTGAATTAGTATGTCATTGGACTTTGTAAAATGTCGAATCACATAAAATTTCACAACTTTTGCCATTTAATTTCCTAAGATAGGGTTAAAGAATATGACATCTTTCCACAACTATAAGTTTTTAAACCTGAACTGTACATATAAGGGAGTACTTGTATCGACAGTTGGGGGAGAGGGTCTCACTTTTTCAGGAAATCAAAGTTTGCTACAGTCATGTATACCTGTGAAGTTTCGCTGATTATTAGGGAAACAGTGGAAAATATAAAGCCTCGTGTTATAGCCGCTTACTTTAACTTTTAACGAAAATAACAAGGATGAAACCGACTGACATTTTTGAAGGAATAAAAGTGTTATTCTGTCAGTTGTGATGTTGTAATGTTGAAGAAAAGAATAGATACTGTTTTACTGCTCAGCGTTTGCCATTTGTTTGTTCATTTTAATTAAACATTAAAATATCTTTCTTAGGAATAAGAACTGTATTCCTAAGAGACAGTGCTGTAAGAGTAATGCTTTTTACTTCGCTAAGTCGTGTGTCGGTGGCACAGTGGTTAGGACTCTCGCCGACCATGCACATGGTCCGAAGTTCGATCCCCCGCCGACGCACACCCGATATCTATGGTCGGCCTGCTAAATTTGGGCTACCGATATCACATGCTGAAAATTTCATACTTGTACCAAAATACGGTGTGGCATCAAGCTGTAATCAAAATTTTAAAAAAAATTTAAAAAATTAAATTAACACTAATCACTTGAAACCCAGGACATATCAGTGATTACCTTTCTGAAGTATCAATTGTTTTATATTTCAAATGGGTGAAGTTTTTAGCCTAATGTTCAACCATTCCCCCTTCACTATTCTCACTAATCGGTCAACGGGTCTTATGAATGCGTCGGCCGGAGATCGAACCTTGGATCACCTGTGTTGTTTGTGAGTATTCAAATACTGAATTGCTGACATTTAAAGTCAAATGTTTTTTAATTACTCAAATTAGGAGTGAACGAACGTAACCGTTTAACTGCTTAAATGTCTAGGCACACAGGAACACATGCGAGTACAGTAGTTTGAAGAACAACTCATCTATAGCTGATGCACATTCGTGGAATGAGGCACATAACATTGATTGAGACAACATTTGTATTCGGGTATCCGAAATGCAAACTAATGGAAAGAAAGACTAATAATAGAATCCATGTAAGCTTGAATGTCACAGCGGGGGGGGTCACTGACTGGTTTCAACAAACAACTTTGCACCGATGTCCATTAGTTTGAGTTGCCACACTCCACTTTATGTAGCACACAAAGAAAGAAGAAAGTAAAAGGATTCTAATATCGAAGAACGGTATGGTTTCATTGGGTATTATAGGTCACAAGTAGTGGATGCATCTGCACCAACCATTGACCAGGACGATTTTGAGCCATATCATCAATTTTCTCCAGCCTTCATTGGTTTCCACCGTCCCGAGGACCCCAACCAGTCAGGAAGTTTACACCTCCCTCCCTACGTGGCTGGCTGGCTTAAACTAACTGTTGTGGATTTCATTGACTGATGAAGCCATGTTTTGGTTTGACCACCACTGGCTCTTTTCCAACCTGATCAATCCTATGTCAGTCAGCTAACATTGCCTGTTGTCGAGAAAGGCGATGGATGGCTAGGGATATATGCGTAACACATGTCCTAACTATCATAGTCGATGTCAATTCACAGCCTCGTCGATTTATTTTCCCTCCTTACATAGAACTCAATCGACTGAGGCCTAACCTCAATATAGCTCAATCTATTATACCACTTCACACAAGAGATAGAATGCAGACACCTACCTATGATCAAAAATAGCTAATCGGCCTTTTCATGTCTTCCACTTTCAATGGCCATGTCTCACAGCTAGCCATAAAGGAGGACAGAGCGAACTGCTGAGCAGTGCACACCACATATCCTTTGATCGATAGCCAGTGGGATATAATAATAATAATAGCTTTATTCCAAGCAGTATTTGTGGTACAGGTATGGAATTTTCAGCGTGCATGACATTATTGCACCTAATTACCTCATAAATTTTATAAGATTTTAAAAACAAAGCGCAGCAACAACATAAAATAGATAAATAAAAATAAATTGATAAAAGAACAGCGTTGCATTCAAAATTTAAACAATGCACCTCAGGAATATGAAATATAAAGTTAGTGTGTAATAGAAGATGTGAACAACAATGCAATAGTAACACAGAAATGAAAACAATAACTAATGGGAAATTATTTGTTAGAGTGCCGCAGTAAGTTGATCGTGTCATACCTAACGGATTTCTCATCACATAACAGCTGTGCCAGGTAGGGAATGTGGAGTTTTTGTACTTGGCAGTCCTAGCATATAGCCTCCTATAGCTGCTTCTAGTTCTACCAGATGAAATGCATGAAGAGAGCTGAGTATAGAGAGGATGCTCGGGGTCTGAAAATATAGTATTCGCTAGTTTCCTACATGACACTATTTGTCTATCCACAATAGTGTTAACCAGTTGGTCTAACGATATCCCACTTCCCCTACTAACAGCTTTTAGTGCCCTTCTCAGCAAAGCAAAATCTATCTTAAGTAGTCCAGGAAAGATGAATGGGGAGCAGTAAAGACGGGTGTGTAGAATACAAGAATTGAAAAACTAAGAAAGCAAAGACTGCTTTATATCACGTCTACTAAGCCAGAGATGGCGTAAGTCCTCTGTATCCGTGGTGAGTTTTTGTCAGCGATCAACCCGCTGGCGTTGGCTGACGCAACTTCCCAGATAAGTGAAATGGTCAACAAGGGGGGGTGACTACTCGATACATCTGTTGACAACCTTGACTATAATTCTGGATGTAAAGGGGAATGAACAAACATAAAATAATAAATGGACTACTCTGTATAATTAATTCATTGTAATTCTTGTTTCTTTTTTTAGATCGTCTCGTTCTACTCCGTGATAAAGGCTGGCGGTGTAGTGTTGTGCGCTTGTGTGTGTGTGTTCTCAAATCTAGTCTCATCTTGTAAATGTGACATTATGAAAAAGAAACGGTCAGTGGCGACTGAATTAGTTTCACGGGCTTCATCTGTCCTACCAGCATTTACAGATATCTTTGACGAGGAGACATTCTACATCTTTTTCGCTTGCCTTGTTGTCGTCTCTTTTGTTGTAGCCTTCGGTGTTGCATGGTATTTCGACGTGACAATTAAAGATGCAGATGATGCAATGAAGACGAATAAAAGATCGAAACGCCGACCACCTGTTTCCACTACTAATACTACTACTAATAATAAAAATAATAGTAGTCATAGTAGCAACAATGCTAGATGATATTTTATTCATTTTTATGAAACATTTCCTTTTTCTTTTTAACAACCTTTCTCTTATTACGTAATAGTTACCAGTAGTGAAAGCAGCACAAACTATCAAAGTTTTCTCCGCTTACACCATGTTTTACTCAATAACAACAAAAAAAGTAAATACGAAAGCTCATCGCTTGTGTGAACTTTCATGCCTGTGCAATATATATAATTATATTCTCAATGCATTTATATTATTTTATTTGCCTTCATTTTTTTCTTTGATTTCTCCGTTGTTTTTCTGTGTTTGTCTCTTTTTGTCTCAATTAAATATTGTTTTCATTACTTAGAGGTGATCATCAGTTTGGTGAAATGGTTTTCTTAATTTATCAAATTATTGTTATTGTGGAAGGAATATATATACATATATAAATCTATTTCTTAATTCTATTACTAATTCTGTGATTATCATACCCTTGGGTTCTGGGTGCGGGAGCATAAGGCAGGGCTTCTTAGGCACATCTTCATTATAGCCGTTTGTTCACCAGAGTCTTTTTTCTAGTTGGCTTTTATCTCCTCTGTGTCAACCTCGGAAGTCAGCCCGACTTGCTGTTTTCTATATATATGTATATATATATATATACATATATGCGTTCTATTCAAAGGCTTGCCTGACACGTAATGTTGTTACTCAATGGTCACCTCTGTATATGTGCCTGATTCTTTTCTCTATCTCTTTCGGTGTATTTGTAGGGCAATAGGTTTTTGGTGGTTCGTTGTCAGTAGTGTCCTATTTGCTGTAATCCTTTTTGACCGTCTGAATTTTATCATGCAGAGAAGAAAGATATGGATTAAAAGTTTTCAGACATAATAATAATAATTTGCTTTATTCCAAAACAGTACTTGTGATGCATAATGGAATTCTCAGCATTTTTACTACAGTATTGCATCCAGTTAGTACATTATCAATAAATAAAACTGTACATAGATTAAGGAAACTTTAGTTCATTATGACAGCAACATATTGGCATATCGGTAGCAAAGCCAAAGTTGAACAGTGTTTGAAGGTGTTAGGAAAGTAGATGCTATAATATTTACTGGCGTAAGCGAGAGAAAGAAACAAAGCAGCACATAACGGAAGTAAAAAAGAGAGAGAGAAAAGGAAAAGAAAGAAAGAAAACGTTGTACCTATAAATGATATGAGTTGGAAAGACGAGGTCCAGTTGTTCTACTGACTATTTAATGAATTATAGGTGTCACGCCTAATGCTTTCTTTATCTCACAGAACACAAGCTAAGTAGGGTATTGTTGAGTTTTTGTACTTGCTAGTGCGAGCATGTAGTTTCCTATATAGGCTTCTGGTTTTGCCTGATGAGATGCAAGGGGAGAGTTGTGAGTGAAGAGGGTGGTGTAAGTTAGATAAAATGGATTTGGCCCATTTTTCACATGAGTCCAAATGCCTGACTGTCAACCAGAATATTAACAAGCTGGTTAAGTGGCACATTGCTTACCCTGCTGACCACCTTAAACATCCTGCGTAATAAGGTATAGTCTTTCTTCAGTAGCCCGGGAAAAACTAAGGGGGAACAATAGAGAATAACAGGCAGAATGCGAGAGTTAACGAATTGTAGGAGTAAGGGTTGGGTTATACCAGAATGTTTTAACTTCCTGATGTAGAAGGTAAGACGGAATATTTTCTTAGAAATCGCCAAGATATGAGACGATCAGGAAAGTTCAGCAGATAGAATGACGCCTAGGTATTTAATTTCCGACTTGGTTTCTATGTTGCACACCTCGTGAGAGCTCACCAGTTTGTTTAGGTCGGATTTATGCCTAAAGGTAAAACTGGCTGTTTGGCATTTGGAGGGGTTTAAGGCAAGACTTTTCCTTGGACCACTGGCTGATTTCTGATAGAAAGCCATTTAGTTTAGAGCAGTCACTTTGACAGGCAAAGATACAGTCAGGTCGTCAGCATATTTGACAAAATTAATGTCATTTGAAGATGGTAAGTCATGTAGAAAGAAAGAAAAGAGAACTGGGGAGAGTACAGCACCTTAGGGGACACCAGCTTCAGTGAGCGCAGCAGAAAAAGATTTACTTTTATATGCGGTGTACTGCTTCCTGTTAGAAAAGTAGGAATGCAGCCAGTTAGTGCCCCAGGACTCAATTTTTGTCATAAAGAGCTTATTCAGCAAGAGACATCTAGGTACAGAGTCGAAAGCAGAAGTGAAGTCGAGAAACGTGCAGCGGACGTATTTGGCACCTTTATCTAATGATGAGGCGATACTGTTGTGTAAGACGGCTGCAGCGTCTAAAGTGCTTCTACCCTGTCTATAGGCAAATTGTTTGGGGTCTTCAAAGCTTTTAAGGGAGGGTTCAAGTTTAAGAATTACTAGTTTTTCCATAAGCTTTAGAAACGGGAAAGTGATGGCAATGGGTCTGAACTTTACGTTCTTGCTATTTCCAGGTTTAGGAACAGGGACTATTTGAGTGTCTTTCCGTGTGGCGACTTGAACTGCCGCACATATGTGCATAGTTCTTTGTCGAAAACCGACCGACCGAATGTCTTTCCATGCAACAGGTACGATGTGTTTGAAGAAAGAAGCATTTAGGATGTTAGTTAGTGGAGAACATAAAGCATCTGCACATTGTTTTAGAACATATGCAGGTATACCATCAGGGCCAAGGCTACGTGAGGGCTTGAGCGTTTTAAGACATTTTAGAACATCGAGAGCATTAAAGTCATGAACGTTTTCAGCGACATGATTGGTAACATTAGAAGTGGCACAATGGTTAGGACTCTCGCCGACCATGCACATGGTCCGGGGTTTGGTCCCCTGCCGGCGCACACCCGATATCTATGGTCGGCCTGTAAATTTGGGCTACCGATATCCATGCTGAAAATTCCATACTTGTACTAAAATACGGTGTGGAATCAAGCTGTAATCAAAATAATAAAAAAAGTTATAGTAGAAGGACAGCGTATAAAAGACTGATTAAGAGCATTAACATCATAAGATGGAAAAGCATTACATCGCTTACTATTGCCAGTAATTTCATTAAAAAGTTTCCACATGCTGATAGGAGACTTGCATGATAAAAGTGTATCGTTATAGATAACATTAAGATTTTTGATTTGAGCATTAATCTTTTTGAGCCCTAACTTGTCTTTGGATTTGTATAATGTTTCTTTTTGCCTGCGAAGTTGTTTGAGATAAGGAGATGAGAAGCGGTCGAGGCGTTTGAATAGTGTTTGTTTGGGACAGCATATATCAAGGCAGAACTTAAGATAATCCGTTATATTAGCAATTGTGTCATCTAATGAACTTTCATGGAATAAATCCCACTTAGTATTTTTTAACATGCACCTTAGATTGAGTAAGTTGTCAGATGAGTAGCATCTTTGTTGTGTTTTCATAGACAGATGTGAGAAGACTTTAATATGTGTTTTGCTGTATATTTTTGGTAAAACGCGAGCAATAGAGTGATCAGAGTTAAGGACCGGTGCACATTTACGTGTTTCATATGCTCCTTCGTCATTAGTAAAAAACAAAATAACTGAGCTAGGAATGTCCTCTTCTGGCTCTACAATCATATATATATTCTAGGATAGTAGTCAACACCGATATTAGTGTTTGTTTTTGTACACCAAGCTCTGGCTTTATGTTATGTATCGCTAAATCCTCTGCCATACCAAACAAATGCACTCGTGTCCCTTTCGGCGAACTTTGTAGACTGTATTGAACGATGTGTCAGATGCTGCGTTTTTTTTCCTTCACGTTCCCCAGTGGAACATAGGGCTTCAAGCTAATGGCTTGAAGTTTCTGTAACAGTCTTTGTTTTACAGGATGGGATTGCTAGCCTCATGCCAAACCTTTCCTCTTTACCAGCATTATTTCTGGCTTAGTGAGGTAAAGGAGTGCGTCGGTGGCCGGGGATCGAACCCCGGACCATTTGCATGGTCGGCGAGCGTCCTAACCGCTATTCCACTGACGCTGGTGTCGCTGCCAGATGCTGCGTAGTCAGTATCTATAATATGTTTCAATATGGATGAATTAATACCCCTACTTTCTCTTTTGCTCAGTCAAATTGGGAGGTGCTCTCGAACGCGGCGGCGGGATATGTTTTTTGACTAACGTCGTATGTGCATAGCCCCGCAAGAGCAGGCGAACATATAAATACACATGGAATTAGATGATCGAGGTAACATTTCCTAGACATTAAGGTGCACCAGTGGACGGCTAGAGTAGGTTATTCGTAAAGTAGCAGCAAAGAACGTTTTTCTCAGTGATCTGGTTAAGACGATTTTTAAGTATTTCACTTACAGTGTCACCCCAAAATTCTAAGTTTATGTCCAGCACTTTATTTTAGCTACCTTATCAATCTCTATATTTCTCCCGCATACTTTGCTATTGACTTCTACGAAGCGTAGTGGATACTCATTCTCTATGAAGGTTTGTTTCAGTTCGTTATCAACACTATCTTCGCTACAAATTCTCCGCACCCGTGTTAAGAAAGAGAGAGAGAGTACGGATTAGATTCCTTTTTCTGTCTATGGATACAAAACTGTAAAAATTGGTCAGCTGTCCCGTCCACGTTGATTTTCTGTAAATAGATGTTTTCACAGACCCGTCGGCTCTCCTTGTGAGTAACACATCAAGGAGAGATATTTTTCCTTCAGTTTTTTTTCTAAGGTGAACTGGATAGTAGGATAATTGTCATTGAATACTTTCAGGATGTTATTCTCTCTATATGTATATAATAATTTGTTTTATTCCAAAAACAGTACTAATGATACAGCAAGGAATTTTCAGCATTTCAGTACATTATTGCAAGTATCTAAGTTTTCCATTGATGATACGTTTAAATTTATTGATAGCATTAAAGATTTCAATGTCTCAGACAAAATCTTGTTCTCATTAGATGTGACGTCGCTATTTATCAATGTTCCTCCCATGGAAACGGTTTGCTACTTATGTGATTATACTGATACACATAGTTTAGAAATAGCACTGCCGACTATCTACCTCA